ATCATGGCCTTGGTTGCAAAAGGGGCTCATAGGCCACAGACATGAACCTTGCTTTCAGTTTTGCCACAAGAGGTTGGGCCCCTGCGCCCAGGAGAGGTTCAGAGTGTGCACTCCGTAGATAGTGAGTTATGGCCAGTAGCACCTGGTGCATCTTGCAAAGAATGAGCAGGCAACGTGTCAGACCCCATCCAAGGCACTTGATGTCCCTGCAGCTTATTTGTGGGATCTGGGGACCTACAGACCAATCCTGAAAACCTCTTCCTCTTTGTACCATTCAGACCTATAGAATTAGTACAGATTTTGTGAATCTGAATTCCTCAGATTTCCCTTCAGGTTCTCCCTGATTCAGTACAAGGAATACTAAGAGGCAGAAGCGATTTGATGAACTAGAAGAAAAGGTGTTAATAAATTAGGAAAAGATACTATTAAACAATAATGCTATAGAAGTAGGGACCACAGGCTGCTTCAAAAAAATTCATGACACCATGAAAAATTCACAGAATTAAGAATGGTAGGAACAGGTCTTACATTTAATTGCATCACCAGATTAGGAACCCCTTCTTATTTGGTGTTTTGTCTATATTCTCTTTGTTCTTTTTCTGACCAAGTAATTGCCATTACTACCTCCCTGCCACCAATTTAGAATAAATAATACCAGCAAGTGAAAGCAATTATAGCAAAAGCTGCTYAGCCCCAGCGTCCACAACAAAAGATGAAATAGAAATTGCCAGTCAGTGTTTGAAGAACTGTCCAGCAAGCATCTCAGGGAGCTGAACGAGCCAATGTAGGTATTATCAGCAGCCAGGGGGAACAAAAGAGAAAGGAAACATGTACAAAATCTAAAGAATAAGCAATTTACAGCTTTCATAGGCAAATTCAAGTTTTATTTCTACAGATAAGCCAGTTGAAGTAACGTTTTCAATTTTTCATATAACCTATTATACTAAGTTTCTCTACTGTTTGATAACTGCTAGAGTATTTTATTTAATAGGTTAGGATTTTTTTTTTTTTTTTTTTTATTTTTTTTTCTCAGTAAGACTATAGAGGACTGGCTTAAGAAAAATACTGGATACTTGTTTGAGAGTGTACAGGCATTTAAATTTGTGTAGCAAACAAGAGAAGTGACACCAAGCACTTCTTCTGATGAAATCACTGCCACTCTGGGAAATGGATCCCAAGGCASAGGGGTAAGCTCTGCTTACTGCAGTGGATCTAGGAAGTTGCTTAAACCAAATTTTTGACAGCCCAAGTTCCTTATTCTTGGAGTTCCCAATCTGAGAAATAAGAGATGATTCATGAAAGGAACAAGTATCAAGAACTGCAGCTGTGAATGACTGAACCTTTGAACATATCAAGAGATACATAAAGCTACACACACTGAGCAATCTACATCCAAATGCTGGGAATGTACTCCAGGCAGGAAGAGAGCTGATGACTTTGCCTTGGTGTGCCTTTGTTTTGGATGTTTCTAAGTCACCATTGCGCAGCCTGAACAGGAAAATGATGCTGAAGGAAACTCATTAATAATTTCAAAGCCTTTCGTTTCAGAGTAACTGCATGAGAGATTCCTACAGCATGAGTTAAATAAAGCTACACAGGGAATACAGAGGATAACATAAGGTATTTAATAAAATATGTAATGTTCCTTGGTTTTTCCCTAACTGAAAGGAATACAGCCACTAGTGTCCTTTTTAGAATTGAAACCAGTTACTCTGCAGTAATGGGAATTTATACTCCTTTCTTCAGCTACTCAAAAATTATTTTTYACCTCGTCAGACATAACTGAATGAAGGATCAATAAAAGCTTTTTAAATTTTTTTTTTTAAATGCCCATTTATATCTAGGGCCCAGACCTCCTCAGCTTTGTTTCTGTTTCCTCAGTTTCTGTTTCCCGTTCTTACTGATGGCAGAACTTGATCTCTATCAAGAGTGTATTGTTAGACATCAGCCAGCTAAGAGAAAGTGTCCTGATCTGTCAAGTAAATCCTGTGGCTTTTCCACTGAGCAGCCAAATACAACCATTCACATACATACAGCCAAAAAAATTGTAGAAATTGATTCTGGGCCAAAGCAAGAAATAATTTTAGACAAATGAGAAAGTGATGCTATTAGAAATTTATCTATTTAGTACCTTCTCTGATTTGCCCTATCTCCTCCAAATGCAAACATTTTATTAAAGCTCTAACAAAACTTTTAAGTATACCTATGCTGAATGAAAGTAAGGTAAGAGTTRTTACTGGATTAACAATATTTTCCAATATGCAGACCAATAGAATACTCAATTGTAAACACCAAACAGATGCAAAAACCAGCACAAAACCAGTCAAGTTATTCACAATAACCTTGGGCAGTTCACAGGGGAATTCTCTATAAGCCTCTGCAAGATTCTGGGGTGTGTTCCAAGGAGAAAGAGAAATCAGCTGACTTCTTGGTAATAGTGTGAATAAAACAGTATATTAATCTTAGAGCAGGTTCCATTTATTGTTGAAATAGAGACTGAAAGGGATTTTGCAGTTATTCACATCAAGCCCCTGGCACTGACAGTGCCCTACAATAGAAAGGCCATTTTTTGTTGTGGGGAGGGAATTCCCTGTAAGGAAATGGCAAGGGCAAGGCAGCACGTGATATATTTTTGAATATTAAATAATTAAAACTATTTTCTGCTATATACTTCAGTCAGCAATGAAATGGAATCTTAATATATTYCATAAATAGTCTAGGTTTTCCTGGTAAAAACCTGCAAACTAAGCTACAATTCATAAATTCAGTGCAACTATCTTTTCATCTGGTGTTGTCAAAGCAGTATTTGAGGACTTACATTGCCTTTAGGATGTTGCTAATCTTTCCAATGTYCAAATAATTCACAGTTAAATTAGAACACAGAAAAAGTGTTGAAAATAGGACAGTTTGTTCCATGAAATCCTAGAAAATACTGGAAGCTTCAAATGAGGTTTCACTTGGTTGCATTTATTTTGAAAACAAGGAAGAATTCTTTTCTTGTAAACCCCAAATGAAGAAATTCCTGGGTTGACCAATGGTTCTTCTAGGAACCAAGGATTCTTTCTAGCTCTTAATTTGCTCCAAAAGAAAATGATGACCCATACAATACCTTGCGTAATCACACAGCATAATTTCATAGAGTTTTTTAGAAAATTTACAAAAACCATTCGCATGGTATGGTGATAGTCTCCTGTGGGATTATGAAATAGTTTGTTAGGAAAACAGATAATCCCAGCAGTGAGCCAGTGAAGATAAGCACTGGAAGGGAAAACTAAAGAAACATTTATCTGTTCTAAAATCAAAACACAAAACACAGGTTATGCTTATTTTTCAGTTATTTCACCACTCATGAAATCAGTTAGTAGCACCAGAGTAGTAAATCAGATACCTAATGTTTTGACAGGCTAACTGTCAGCTCTCCCACAGAGGTGCTGTTTTATCTCATAAGGGACATAGCACACAGTTATATTCTGGTGCCTCAGAATGAAAATGCAATGGCTCGGGCAACAYAGCAACATTACAGAGTTACTAAATTCAGACTCTCAGATTTGCTGCCCTGGGAGGTGCAAGAGGAGCTGAGGTGAATGATCTGCAGCCAGGAAGATGTGAGACCTCCCTGCACTGCTGAAGGCTTCTGTCAGTGAGTTCCGGGAGCTGCTTCCGAACCAGAAGCCGGCTCTGTTTGAGTTACTGTTAATATGTGTTTTGCAAGCAGAAGTGCATGTTGATACAGGAAATGAAGTCGAGGTCAGCTTCAGGTATGCACATAATTATTTAATGGTTCTATCTCATTACAGCTGTCAACAGCAAACTCTATATCTCCCTGGAGAGGGAAAGCCCACTTCAGTATTTTAATATTGAAGGCTATCATGAGCCACCCCATCAAATTACAGGGACCTATTCAGCATTTTAGTGGAAGTCTACTGTACTTAATGAGCAGACTGTAAAAGTTGTTTTAACACTCTCAAGGCCAAAATATGATGATCACAATATTAACATCCTTAGTCATTAAGCACACCTTTCCTCTTTGCAATTATAATCCCATTAGGAACACTTTATCAGTTTTTCTGACCCATTAGGTATTGCTGTCCTTATCCTGAAGTAAGGTTGTCTTATTTCACTTCCTTAAGTCTGTTGCATAATCCACCTGAATTTTTAATTAAGGCAGGAAAAGAATTTATCATAGAATATCCTGAGTTGGAAGGGACCCAYAAGGATCATCAAGTTTAACTCCTGGCCTTGCACAGGGCAGCCCCAGGAGTTTTGCCCTGTGCCTGAGAGCATTGTCCAAATGCTTCTTCAGCTCTGGCACCCTTGGTAATGTGGCCACTTCCAAAGCCTGGCGAGTTCATTCAGTGCCCAAACACCYTTTGGGGRAAGAATCTTTTCTGAATATCCAACCTGAACCTCCSCTAACACAACTTGAGSCCATTCCCTCGGGTCTTGTCACTGATCACCACAGAGAGCAGATCGGTGTCTGCACCTCCGTTTCCCCTAAGGAGGATGCTGAAGCCCACACTKAGGTCTCCCCTCAGGCTCTCCCAGACCTGAACAAGCTGAGTGATCTCAGATGCTCGAAGGGGCCGAGTTACCTYCACTGCACCAGTGGCACATCCACAGTGTTGTGGTGCTACCGCCTGCCCTCACGGCTGTCCCGCCACAGCTGTCCCTCCACACAGGCCGCTGGGAGCGGGGACAGCAATGGCCGGGCTGTGGGGGTCCGCCAAACGCGAAACGCAGCTGTGCTCTCATATTTGTATGTGTACGTTCGCCTTTCCCTCAACTCCTTCTTCCTTTCAGGGCTCGTCTTCAGCATGAGACCCCAGCGGCCGTGTCCCGGCCGGTGGGTGCGGCCAGCCCGGGGGCTGGACATCTGACCGCGCTGAGGGCCGGGGTCTGTCGGGGGCTGCCGGGGGCTGCCGGGGGCTGCCGGGGGCTCCTCAGCTGCCGCCCGGTGCCCGGCCAAAGCCCGCACAGCCAAAGCCCGGCCAAAGCCCGGCCAAAGCCCGGCCAAAGCCCGGCCGGCCCGCGGCGGGAGGCGCCCACAGACACCCCGGCTGCAGGGCCGGAGGGAGCTGCGGGGGTCCCCGGGTCTCCCGGGCGGTGCCCGGTGCGGCGCAGCCTCCGCGGGCTGTGACGAGGGGCAGCCCCGCTGCTCGCCCCCGCAGGGCCGGAGCCCGGCCCCTTTTCCCCGGGCCGGCGGCGGGCCCTGGAGCCGCGGCCGGGATGAAGCAGGTAGGGGCGGCGGGCGCTGCGGGCGGGGGAAGGCTCGGCCGGGCCGTGCGCGCTGACGGGCTCCCGCCGCAGGCGCTGGTGGACGACACCGAGGATGTGTCCCTGGATTTCGGGAGCGAGGAGGAGCTGGCGCTGCGGAAAGCGCGGATCAGGTAACGGCGCGGAGGCCGCAGCATCGCGGCGCCCGGGCCCYGGCGGCCTTTGCTGTTCAGAAAATTGCATTGAAACACTTCATTCCACTTTTTACAGGGCGGGTGGTCAAGCGCAGGAGCAGGCTGCCCGGGGAGGTTGGGGAGCCTCTGTCCCGAGATGGCCGGGCTGGAGCAGGCGAGGCCCGGCCCCGCTGCCCGGTGTCACCCGGCTGCGGGAAATGCAAACCTGACACACGCAATATCCCAAACCCCAAGCAAACAACACTTGAGTGAGAGCTGGAGTCGTGGAGAGGGCTCTCAGCTCCAGCACAGCCCGCTATGCAGCAGTGCTCAGGCATTGCCGTGCACACCTGGCTGAAGGGAAGCAGCTATGTAGCTGACATAAAACTGTCATGATTTCCTACCACGGGATGTGATGTGTGGATAGTAAAATACTTATCCTTGTTGCTTGACAGAACCCAGCCCATTAACCCATCTCATCCTGTCAGGTTAAGCTGTCTGCCCTTGGGTGTCACTCTGCAACTCTGGCCATACAGAGGTCCCAGGTGACAGAGCTGTTGTTCCATCAGTGGCTTTTGGAGAATTTCCAGTCAAAGACTCTAAAAGGAAGAGTTTTATGTCAAAAGGAATAATGCATGCACTGATCAATAATGTATATAATCACCTTTGATTTAGATTGCTTTCTTCTATGTTGCCCCAGTTTGGTCTGGTCCATTACAATGGTAATATTTTTTGTAGGTATAGACAAAGAAAAATAATGAWTGCTAAACCTGACAGAGATAACAAGCAAACGTGTAGCTTTGCAATACAATTACTGTGTTTTATTAATGTCTAGTGAAGCTTTTCTGCYCTTGAAGTGCTTCAGACTTTGTAACTACTTGAGTCAGCCCTGTAACTACTTAAGTCAGTCCACCTTGGAAGCAGTACACATTTTGAAGGAAGGCTTATATTTTGGTGCGGTCTTGGAGACCATAGCATGAAGGGTTCAACTGAATTGGGAAATACAGCTTCAAAGTACCTTAATCACACGAGCCAMAGATTCTGTCTGAGGGACCGGGCTAGACGTAGCATGAAGTGAAACCCTGAAATGTTTGTAGGAGGTCCACAGCACCTGGTACTTTACACTAGAGATCTTATGAATTCCTTCTGGYTCATGCTACTCAGTAATACAGGACAGGTAAAGTATCAGCAATCCATAGTATTCTGTGATCCACTTTGTGTAGGCACTGGTTGCATTGGAGACAGCTATTCTTTCTTGCCCTCAAGAAAATATTAAAAGATGATGTCATATTGAAAATTCATCTGCCATAGAATGCAGAAATGAAACTGCTTACACTGGTTGCACATGTTTGCTTTTCTATTTCTGAAGAATCTTGTGCAAATGAGCCTGGAACACACCTAGGTGCTGCAAAGTTTTGTTATCTTATTAGAGGGCATAACAAGATGGTCTAATCATTTGTCTTTAACTTTATCCCARTTTCATCTTGAACTTGGTTAGAATTTGCATAGGCTGTGAAAAATTGTGCTTTTGTGATTCTCCAAGGTATTTGTGTTTTTTGTGCAAAAGCGCAACTTAAAAACAAAAGGTTAGTTAGGTTTCTACTTTCCTAAGTAATTGGAAAAAGCTAAGTTCATTGCAGTATGAGAACTTCGGATCTCAAAGTCAGGAGCATATGATTGCTTCTTTTACAAACCAGCCAGGAAACACGATGGTCAAGCCAGAGATGAGAGACAATTTATTCAAAATTTACCTCAATATATTTCAAGTTCCAGACAGAAACCAAAATAAACAAACAAACAGACCAAACCAGCATGTAAAGTGCTGCTGTGGCACWTCTGAGCCGGTACTGGAAATGATTCTTCTGTAGTTCCTGGCATAGCTTGGGACTGACYCAAATTTGATTCCTTAACATGGAAGGCAACTAAATCCATAGCCATTCATTCCTATCCCAACAGGAATCATGCTCACAGACTGAGCAGAGGTTATTGTAACAAGGTAAATGACAATCATTTCACCTTGAGACTCCAATTCTACCGCACGTGGGTGTTTAGGTTAGCAGGAAAATTGAAAGACCCAAGCAAGTGGATTGCTGTGCTTTCAGGAGCCAYTGAATTCCAAGCTGAGCCAGTGCAGAGTTGCAGTTTCCTTTTATCCTTTCCATAGTCTCARTAAGTGCTCAGCATTGTAATAAATCAGAGCTCATGGGGTTTGTTTTGATTTTTTTTTTAGTAAATACCCTTCAGTGTTTGATATTGGAACAAATTCAGCACTCAAACAGTAATCCTGTTGTAATCCAGTAATGCTRCTGAATCTGCCTTCCAGAATGAAACATGACTTCTCCAAAGTTACTGCTACATTTGAAGTACTGATCCATCAGAAAAGCTCAGGCYACCCTGGTGTGCTTTGGGGGTGTGATCTATGAAAGCTGCTCTTGGCACAAGGATACCACTTACGTAATGGACTCTTGTGTCTTCTTGACCAAGATGAAGACTTGAAGCAGCAAGGCAGTGTCTGTTTTAGCCAGTGCACAATATCTACTCCACCCACCTGGCGGCTTATGCCAGAAAAAGCCCCTTTTGCTTAAAATGTCACACATTTACATCTAAGTCACAAGAAGTTTTTGGAAARTTTGAAGTTCACATGAACATGACCAGGAGTAAATATAAACTATAACTGTGCATCATTCTTCCTTCTCCAGTCATGTGTGTAGTACTACAAGCACAATATTGCCCTTAGAGAAAGATAAACAGTAGAGCAGTTCAACAGCTATAGAGTAATAACATAACAATAAAGGTATTTAAGTTATAATAGTTATTATATAACTGTAATKTAAGTTTATAATAAGCAATTATGTATGTATTTGATGTCTCATTTTATTATAYACAATAACAGAATAACATTTAATAGTTACATAGTTCATTATGCCCTAGGCCATACTTTTGTTAACTGGCCATACTACTGTTCATTGTTCACAGTGGTAGAGAAGCTTAATGAGACAATTGATGACTTAGATATTTTATTCAGATATTTTATCCACTAAGCTTCATGGAAGAACTTACTTAACTGCTATAGCCTGTGGTTAATTCTAACTTTCAACTAATTAACACAAACAACTGTACAGAGTAAGTTTTTTGTWCTTGCATATTACCCTGATAATTGTACTCTGCTCATTATAGCACTCTTCAGTCTCCCCCAGCTATGCAGGCCAATGTTCCATGTCATACAGTTATTTCTTTTACTGAAATTTCTCTTTCTTTGTTACAGACAMAATTTTGTTCAATGAATCAAGCATAAATATCTAGTGAAATTAATAAGCAATAATTCAGAAGAAGTGTTTGATTCCCAAATCATTCTCCCTGTCTAAACAGAAGTGGTTGYGTTTAGACATGAAATATGAAGGTTCATTTTGTCTTACAGCAAATAGCTACCATTTTTTTTTTTTTTTGTTTTAGATGTCATTTTTTGTTTCCAAAACAGTTTTGAAGGGCATAGGAGCTATTTMATTTCTTTTGTGCATTGCAGTGCTGATTTATTTCAGGAAACGATGMGGATTTTAGGGTACTCTGTTGAACATAACCAGTAGATTCCTTCATGCAGTACCCAAGAATCTGGTGAAAGGCTCCATGTTTTGTTCTSTCYTTAAGAAAGTTTTGACASGAACATCAAATTYATCTTTTAGCTTTAKATTGAAGCTTGGCTATTGAAAATAYCATTGCTTTGATAATGAAGATGTGCCAACCTTTGAAATAATAGCAGCTGTAGACCAAAGAACCATTATAATCTTGAAATARCTGTTGTGCTACATTTTCAGCAAGTACTGTAACATTCCTTCCTGTCCCATAACCTCAGATATGCACTGCATTTTCTTTTACAGGCACCCACTGGCCACCTTTTTCCACCTGTTCTTCCGAGTGAGTGCTATTGTTACCTACTTGTTCTGTGACTGGTTCAGCAACAGCTTTGTTGCCTGTTTTGTCACTATTCTCCTCCTTCTATCCTTTGACTTTTGGTCTGTTAAGGTAAGATGACCATCTATAGTAATTTCTTTAAAAAAATACTTTGCCATTAAAGAAAACAAAAAAAAAAAAAGAAATATGCCTAATGAAAAACATGACAAAAACATTGGAATGTATTGATTTATTAAATGTCTAGCCCATTTTCATGAAGATGTTCACATATGTTGGTTATTTAGCACCATGTTTTCTGTGGCTTACTGCTAAGGACTGCTGATATGGTGGAAAATTGCTGTGCCATAGATTTGTTTGTATCCTTTCCCCCGTAAAAAAAGAAATAAAAAAGTTAAACTGATCCTGGCTTTCMGTAATGGAAGCCCAAGGATGCCTAGATCTGCAGCCCCGAGCCCAGACCCYGCAGCAGGGGCTACAGAAGACTCCTGAAAGCCCAACTATAGCTCTGGTGCCCTAATCCCATGCAGGCAGGTGCATCAGGCCACCCCAGGATCCAGTGACTCCACAAGTGGAACAAAGCTTTTGTTTTGTAGAAGTGAGGCATTGATGTACCTCCAGTAGTCTAAAAGCTTCTGGTGTTCATTGGGGTGCAARAATATTTTCTTAGTTTGTTTGCTTGATCCTACACAGATTACTTGCTTRTCATTAGTCTCCCTTTTTTCAGTGTGTTTTTGTTCTCAGTGTTCCTTCTACTGAGGAAATTTGTTTATTGAATGCTTGTCCAACTAACTGACTTGAAAAAGATACAACCTATAATTTATCTAAATAAGTGCTATTGGGCTGATTATCATATTGAAAGAGAATAGGCCTCTAAATTTGTGAGTTTTGAATTAACAATTCATCCATTGTTAATGGCTGTTGTACTCAAGCTGGCACAGCTTTTAGAAGTAATTTTMGTATTTGATAGAARGATATAATTTTTGAACATGCTTGTTTCTTATTTTTCTATTTTTAACTGTTATTCTGTCAAGTGACTGTTCTACTGATTAATGCAAATAATGGTTTCATCACTAGAATGTGACAGGAAGACTCTTGGTTGGTTTGCGTTGGTGGAACCAGATTGATGAAGATGGAAAAAGTCAYTGGGTGTTTGAAGCTAAAAGGGTAAATATATTAATAGAAGTAGGCACAAGGCAAACAGAATCCATAGGAAATTTGTAAAGCTGACACCAAGTCAAATAAARTAATAAATAGAACACCTTTGTAACAGTTACATTTTATCCAGCKTCCATAGAAAACAATGTCAGTATTGAGGTGTGAGCACTGGTTTGTCACATCCTGGAAGCATTAAGGGCAAGACAGGTCTCACAACATTGTTAGCATATGGATCAGCAGAATAAATATTCATGGCATGGTGCTATAGGTGTGAAATGTTTCTGGTAGTTCTATTTTATTTTCAAGTGAGAATATATTCAATATTTTGAAGTTAATRTTGGAATATGGTGGGGAATAGAACCTCGATCACAGAGCATTCTGATCCTGCCAGTACCCCCCAAACACAGAGGGGGAAAGAAAGCACTATAGAATGGCATTTGGCATCACTGCCAGAGTCGAGGTTCAGGTTTTACTTTCCCGTGCTGGCATTCTCTCTGCAGCCCCGTGGAGCCTGGCGGAGCAGCACCCAGGTGCTGCTCACCAGGACGTTCTTTTGGAGCCCTCCAGCTGTGTCCCCCAGCTGTCCCGGTGCTGTCCCGGTGCTGTCCCAGTGCTGTCCCAGTGCTGTCCCGGTGCTGTCCCAGTGCTGTCCCAGTGCTGTCCCGGTGCTGTCCCAGTGCTGTCCCAGTGCTGTCTCAGTGCTGTCCCGGTGCTATCCCAGTGCTGTCCCAGTGCTGTCCCAGTGCTGTCCCTGTGCTGTCCCAGTGCTGTCCCAGTGCTGCCCCAGTGCTGTCCCAGTGCTGTTCCAGTGCTGTTCCAGTGCTGTCCCGGTGTGCAGTGCCCCGTGCAGCGCCCTCTGCAGCCTCGGCTGTGGCTCCGGGTGCCCCGAGCGCAGAACACAAATTAATGTGCTTCCTGCAAAGCTTAGTGAAGCCTGAACACAGAATGGAGGAAACGCTGTACAAAAGAATACGCGGCAAATTCAATATACTGGAAATGAACTGAAAAGCTTTTCAGTTTTCAGTGGAAAGGGGGTTTTCAGAAGTCCAGAGGGTTTTCTTTTCCAGTTATGATGCTTCTGTTTCAGAAGCTGGCAGTAGTGGTTGGAGGGTTGGAGTGAGATTTTGAATTTCAGAAAGATCAGAACCTTCTAAACAATTCTCTTACTTTAGGGYTTTTTCTTCTTCTTTTTAAAGTGTAGAAGCTGATGATGAGCCTTTCACTGTAGATGGAAACGTGAGTTGTGCTGACCTGAAGAAATCGGTAAGCAGTGCTTTACAGCCTGCTCCGAGGTTTTGTGCTCTCCCTGAAGAGCACACAGGGCATGGTGCAGAACGCTGCCTCTTGCAGTTGCAGTGTGCCCAACGCTAGCATGACATGAGGCAAAGCATGTTTTTAATCTATTAAGGCATAGTTTTAATCAATTTAAGGCATAGTTTTTAATCTATGGAATGTCAGCAGAGTTCAGAAGCAAAACCCAAGTGTTAATTTATATAATAGGAAAATAAGTTTCATGCAAGATTTACATTAAGGTAAGATACTGTATCTTCTTAGGAAAATGTATATAAATGTGTGCTTTTATGAGAACTCCAGTCTGAACTAGAACCAGCTGATAAATCCTATGGATGAAAATGCTGTTGTGTACAGTAGAGGAAGGAAAGGAAGGAGACTTGGCATGAGCTACTTATCTTCTTAGTTAATCTTCCTTCTATGCATAAGTCTTCCTCCTTTGTTCATTTGTCATTTATTGTGGGTTTTGACTTTGTGACTAATAGCCTTAATTAATTTTTCCTTCCAGGTRCCTACAGTATCTGCCTCAACTGAAGCTGAAGCCCGAATCTTTTGGCTTGGTCTCATCGTCTGCCCAGTGATTTGGACAATGTTTTTATTTAGYACCTTGTTCTCCTTGAAGCTGAAATGGCTGGTGAGTCGGGGTGCTGAAGACARTCTTGGGAGAGGGAAAACTCAGATCTGTTAGTTTTGAACTAAATCTTCCATCAATACAAAAATTCCACCAGCACCTTCAAGGAATCAATACCAAGGAGTTTTCTGCAGTCAAGGCCTTCTGCACTCTGGAATGGATTGGTAATTTTTAGCTGCACTTCTAATGGATTATCAAATGTCAATTCCTTCATCCAAATGGAGAACATCAAGTGATGGGCAAAATTATGGGCTTCTTTTTAACTGTARCAGCTTACTCTTCCGCAACTTATTTCAGTCAAATGAAACTAATAGGAGAGGACAAAAAATAAAACCTCTTGGTTTTAAGGTTTTTAGGTCCTAGGAACTTAAGTGCACTTACTCTTAAAAGTAAGGATTTTAGATTCCTGATACTATTCCCTTTCGAAAGAACCATCATCATTAGTGCTTAAAACATTGATAAATTGAACTGTAAGTTATTTATAATTAGTTACATATAAGCCATCTACTTAAACCCCAACMCTTTTTTCTAAATACAAGAGGCAATTTACCCCATATATTGCATTACATTAAGATATTTTTGCCTATTAAATCTTCACAATTTTCCCAAGTGTTTGGATAATTGCCWCAGAACTTTTCCTATCAAGTTGTCAGCCATGCTCAGTACTATTTCTTAATTCCGTCTGAAAAGATAAAAAGCACCTCCAACATGTGCAGCTACATAACCAGTAACAGCSAAGATTGCATATTATTATTCAATTGAACAAGAAATTCAGCCATGGATATGAATCAATTGGAAATTATTAACTGCCTTCCAGTGCCCCTAAACAAGCAATAGTTAAAATTAAACCAGCACTCTTTGTGCCTCCGCCTTTATTTTTGAAAAGCAGAGATTGTTTGCAAGCCAAGAGCTGCTTGGAGACAGAATTCTAACTGGCACAGGAGGCAGATTGCCCAGGTGCTTATAAAAGGCAAGTTACACAAATGAAAATAAGATGACTTCTGGGAAAYGTTTTGAAAGCTAAGGGAAACATTTTTATAAGTTACTGCATTAGTCAGATGGGTCCCACGTGCTGCTAAGCCTGAAGCTCCACAAAAGGAGTCAATAATTTTCACTGCCTGTCAGTGCTAGATAGGGAATCCTATCTGTGGATGCTTTTTGTAAATCTGTAAACAATAGATCTTACTTGTATATAGTGTTTGTCAGCTAAACAGGCCTGCAGGTGTGGTATGTATCTGGATGTAAAACTTTTAGATATGAATTGGGCTTGAAAAAAGTGAAATGTTTTGCAATCCGTTGAGTAGGTCTTTTTTTTGAGGAGTGTTTTCAGGAAAGTGATGAAGTCTTTCAAGATACAGAATGACAGAACTGGTATCAGTGTTTTGATAAAGAGAGGCATTTAAAAGGAGCTATTTGTTTGTTTAACATGATGGGATTTCTTTGAAGCCTGTTTATTTTTGGGAGGAATATCCCCCTTACAGCACGTTTATCTAGATAGTGTGTACACATACATGTGTATATCCTACACAGTCAATACACAGCCATGGATTTATCCTTGCTGAACTCGTATTTGTCCACAGGCTCTCGTGATTGCTGGGATCTCCCTCCAGACTGCTAATTTATATGGCTACATCCACTGCAAGTTAGGAGGACAAAAAACCATCAACAGAGTAACCTCRAGGTTGTTTGGCACTGCAGATGTTCCTATGAGTAAGTACAGAGTTGTGTCAGCTACAGCCCGTGGGGTAGCACGGCCAAGCTGCCTCTCACAGCTGGCTCTGGCTCTTCCTAGCTCAGTTCCTGCAGTGAGTCMTGGCAGGGTGATCCTGATTTTCCAACAAGCCTCTCTGGCTGTTACATGAAGTGCCAAACCCCAGGTCACTTTGTGTTTGGAAGTCTGCTTTGCTTCCAACTGAGCTGCTTCCAAGCTCCAGGAAGAATGTCAAGTTAAATCCCTGGAGTTACTCTGCTTATATGAGACCCTGATGTCCCAGGTTATGCTTACAGCCACGTGTTGTTTGTTCTCTCAACAGGACAGAACAGGAGAATTTCACAAGATGGCACTGAAGAACATGGGAAGACAGGCACTAGATGACCAAACAAGGACGAGCTAAAAGATGAACAATAAAAATACTAATTCATGAAAGCTGTTCTTCACGGGAAGATATTTAGATAAAGCTCTTCTAGAATTATGCCTGCATGAAATAGTCATTTGTGTTTGAGTCTTAGRTCATGGAAGGTTTAAAGCATTTGTTACTTAAAAGCTTCACCAAAAAGTTGTGGGATCACACACAATGCTCATGGTTTACATGGAGCACGCTGCTTTCAGGAAAGTTGTAAACTAACCTCAAACTGTTGGATTATATGTAATGAAAAGACAATGCTAATTTGTTTAACTCTGGAAATACAATAAACAAAATCAAACTGCCTTTCCCTCTCATACACAATACTGATTTTACAAAGCTTTGAAATTACAGTCCCAAAGGGCCTCTTAGTTATTAAAGACACTGAATGTTTTTTGAAGTTCAGACTTAAGGTCAAATAAAAGAAATCAAAAGTCAGTTATCATGTTCACACAGTACTTGTGTGAAACTGGCATTATGTATACTTAAAATATTATTTTGATACCTGWAAAAAAATAAATAAAGCAATGCTCTTGTACTATAATACTACCCTGACTTTCAATCTAGATACAAATCTTTTCCACTGAAAGGAGACTCTTAAATGATGTTATTCAGGGAGAGAGAATGGGCATCACAGTTCACCCTTGTGCAGAAGGCAGGACAAAGCCTGCTGCACATGCACAGTAGCTACATCACATATGATGCCCCAGTGTCAATCCAGCATATTTTATATTCCACTTCCTAAATAAAATGTGTGTATACTCACATCTTCAACTGCCAYACATGGTCAGGGTATTGGCACCATGACACTGGAGGCACAATGAACCTGATAATCCACATGCAGACTCAGTTTCACAGTTTTCTAGTGAGGGAAGAGCTACAAGAGCCTTGAACTATTGGAAAAAACAAAGGCAAGAGCATTTRTATTAAGAATTTATTTGCAATATACAAAAAGAATACATTCTTTTATTAAATCAAGGCATAAGTTACTTTTCTATAATCAAACAGGAACTACATTTTTATTCCATTTACAGATTACATTATCTTTTCTTCTTGAAGATGCTGTTGTTCACAGTATTCCTGAATTCCTGCAAAGATGGAGAAAAAGTCATATGTTTTATTTCAGTTGTTTATCAGGAGTTTGTTGTTGCTGCATCTGGCCCCTGTGGGTACAAATACCTGAAGTTGGGCCTTCATTACACTGAAAGTGGCTTTAGGGATTTCCCAGCTGTCTGTATTTTTTAACAACACAGCACCAGCTCTTTAGGGAGTTTTTACAAGGGTTTTTTGTGCAATTACAGTTAAAAGTGGAGGCATTGATCAGTCAGCTGCAGCCCACTGGGTTATGGTAAGCACCCCTCCACACACCTGCTAGAGAGCCTCAGAAGGTTTCTCTGAGCACAAGGATACCCATCTTCCCTGAAAATGGAAGTGTGACTTCTCTGAAATCGGACACTGAAACCAGTTATCAAACACAATTTCGTTATCGCTTTAAAAGCCACTCAGAAGCGATGTCCAGAAGTAAATATGGTCTTTGCACCTGTTACTTTCAGAATTGCTATGCACCTCTCTTGATTTTATAATTTGTGGTAGAATAACACAAGCCTGTTTAACACCTTTGTATGTTGCAGCAATGCTTAGAACCAAGAGGATTTATTTGCACACTGATTCTCAGACTCACTTTGAATGATATTCCTGTAAGATAACGTAGCTGGAGACTCGGGTGCTTCAGCGAGGAATGACTGGCCACTGTCACAACTTTTTCCTTGAAGAACAGAGAAAAACACAAAAGCAAAGCAACAGGAAAAGATGAGCTTTTCTTTTTTTATCCTTTATCCTGTTTCAGTTACACCTTTTCAGGGTTTTCCAGCAGTAACATCAGTATAGGAAGAACAACTTGCTTTAAGTGCAATGCAGTGCAGTAACTTTACCTATCTGTGGATCTAGAGGCACTTTACCCAGGAGGGAAACATTCAAGTTCTGGCACATCTTCTCTGCACCACCAGTAGTCGGGGGAAAGATCTGAGATTCATTCTGGGACAACATGAAAATTAAAAGTTAAAGTCTTGCAATTCTGAGAATAATTTCAGAGCAAAAACCCCTGTAACACACAGCCAGCCTTACCTTACACTTTGGACACACAAAGCCGCTCATGTTCTCCACAACRCCTATGATGGGCAGCTTCACTTTGCGGCAGAAGTTGATCTCCTTCCGAACATCCTGAAGTGACACTTCCTGCAAATATTARCAAACACTGATACTTCAGTGGTAATTTAATGTTTAATCCATTCAGTTACCTCCTTAGAACTATTTTAAAGAGCGTTTACAATGGATTATTATTGCTGTCTTAATATTTTTAGGAACAYAAACCTGTGCTACAAGCTCGATCAACAATTCTGTGAGTAGCACCAGAGCAGGTGCAACAGTTCAAGCCTATTGCATGTGGTTCTGTTTTGATATCTGACTCCAGTAAAGATTCACCCATACTTATGTTTTATCCTATCTTTAGTTGTTTAAATGCAACTTTTTCACATTTTCAGTTTATAGAAGGGTCCGTGGTATTCTCCACGCGAGTGAGGACAAGAACTACCAGGCTTACACTTGTTACCTCTTTTCAAATTAAATTTGAAATATCTTATCTTCTCAGAGTTTTCATTATACGCCTGACCTCATTCACTCTACTGTTCCCTTCTTCTCCCCTTACTACCTCTCTGGTATTGTCCTCAACATTTCAATTCCTTTATGTGTTATCCTTTCAGCTGTTGTGGAAATACTTTGTGTCCTGTGTTAGTTTGATCTCCTCTTCCTTTCCAAACCAGACAAGAAAACCTCTGAACTGGGTTGTTTTTAGTTTCAGCTTTCCAGCAGCTGATTACTCTTTTGAAAATGCACATGGCAAAGCTGCCTACTTTGACAGGTCATCTGGAGGTGACAGACTACACAGCTGTCAGAGTGCACAGTTTATCACTTAAAAAAAGAAGCTTCTTACACACATTCTTSTGAGCATCAAGCCACTAATGAGTAAATTACAGATCCACAATGATGTGAACTCTGATTCTCAAGGAGGAAGTGAAATACTGCATTCCCTTTCACCACACTGATCACAACAGCTTTTGACTGTGAACTGCTGTGTGGTTCAGTGACCCACTTGGGTCTCCATCAGACACCCACCTAACCCACAAACCAGCCAGCTGCACACACAACAGTCAGTTCCCTGAGATTCTGTACCCTTAGATTTCCATGAAATCAACAGCCTGGAACCCAAGGACTGCCYTCAAGTGCCATAATGCTTCCCCAATGGAATTTGGGCCCGTACCTGGGGTGTGGTGACTATGATAGCCCCATCGACGTGGGTGGCACTGAGGTACTGCACGATGGACAGGTGCTCGTCAGATGTTCCCGGGGGCGTGTCCACGATCAGGTAATCCACTTCACCCCAGTCCACATCCCGCAGAAACTGCTTGATCAGCCCTACAGGAAAGGGTAAGAATGTGGGAGAGAAAAAGGCATCTTCCTGTATTTCAAATTTCAGGGTTTTAGTTTAATATGCTTCCTTTATATTATTAAAAAAGCTCACAATATTTACTTGAAATCTTTCATGTAGATTACTGTTGAAAACACTCARTACATACCATTCTTTTTTGGTCCTCTCCAGATGACAGCATCATCRGGACTACTAAGCAAGAACCCCACTGACATGACACCTAAATTTTCTTCAACATACTAAAAGAGAAGCAGAGAAACAGAACTGAAGAAAGAGTAGAAAAACCAACTCTGAAACCCCTATTTTATAGAAAAAGCAAATGAGAGGGAAGACATTATTAAGATAAAGGTGAAGAACCCTATCTTTTATCACAGGGAATTAAAAACCACTTTTTGTGCAACACAAAACAATTGCACTAAGACTGAATAAAAGCAGTTGTTACAGCAGTTTATGGAATCACAGGAGAYAATGTAAGGATAAAAGCAGCTTTCCCTCTCAGCACCAGATGYCTTTTCTAACAGTGCACACACTACTTATGTTCTTTAGACAACCAAAACTCCTGCAARACCTTCTCTGCATTTTCTAAAGATTAGTAAGTTTTTTCTTGGGTGAAACATACTTCTTGGCTGTCACAGAAAAGCTGACACACTACACAGCTGCATAATACCCCAAAATAACAAATCCGAACGACTTACTGCCCACAGTAGGAAAGTCAGTAAACTTAAGATAATAAAACTATTTCAAAAACACAGTACTACAACTATTAACAAAAGAAATGTAACACCCTGATCTATATACTCTATAACCAGATTCTACAGAATATGCATCTAGATTTTATAGATTCTATAAAATCTGGATATATATTCTCTAGCATTCTCTATATAGGCTACAGAATTTGGATATGGGCTACAGAGAGCTATAGAATCTGAACATATAGACTCTGTAGATTCTATGTCCCATGTCTATAGATTCTACAGAACTTGAATATTTAAATCATTAGCAAAAGAATTAACAGGAGCACCCCCTGCTCCTCCTTCACTCATTTTTCACTGTAAAAGATGGTCCCCAACCCAAACACACCCAATAAACTTTCARAAACAGCTGCACCAACTCACCACTGGAGACCATCCAGATCCACTCTGATGAACCTGAAAATTGGAGTGATACATAWAAGTTATAATAGAAATAAACACTGATGTTACATAAAACCTGAACGTAAGTCAAACCTGGGTAAAGAGCTTTCCTGCCTGCAGGGACAATCCTACTTTATTGTGGCAGCTGAGCTAAAAACTACAGGAGAACCAGATCTCCATCAATAACTGCTGATCCCCTATAGAAGTTTACCCATGATTTATACATTTATATGGAATATTCAAGGGCTGATAAAGCACATCTTGCTAATAATATTGAAGTTTCAAGTTGTCAGCATCATGTGGCTGATATGCAATGAAAGACGTTTGCAGAACGGCTTATCCTGAAAGCACCTGACTCTTTAACAAAATATATCATGCTGAGCTTCTCCATTTCACCTCACTTCACTACCCACTGCCCCACATTTCCCATTATGCAATCCTTTATAAGCTTTAGATTCATAAAGCCTGAATATGCCAATGAAAAAATGAGCAGCAATCCTCTAAACAACATGTCTGAGCATYCACTTACCTGTTCTCCTTCTAGACCCATCATTTTAGGGATCGATGGCCCGCAGATATCTATGTCCAGCAGAGCAACCTGAAAAATAAACCGGCCAACCTCCCCCACTGGAAATAAGGTGTGACAGRGCTGTCTCCAAAGGCAATCTCATGAAATTAAATCACTCCAGCACGGTTTATACAGGAAGGTCAAACCTTAACGAGCAGAGGCACACGATCGATACCCCCRGGCACCTGCCCGCTCCGGGCCCCCCGCCACCCGGCCTCTCCCCACGCCGCTGCCCACCTGCTTGCTCTCGTCGGCCGCCAGCCCGTGTGCCAGGAGGGCGCTGAAGGTGCTCTTGCCCACGCCGCCCTTGCCGGACAGCACCAGCACCGTGTGCCGCACCGCCCGCAGCCGCGCCCGCAGCTCCGCCACCTCCGCTGCGG